CTTTCTATCCCGGGTTGGGGGTCTCCAGGGTCAGATTTCCCGCTCTTTCTATCCCGGGCTGTTGGGGGGTCTTCAGGGTCAGATTTCCCGCTCTTTCTATCCCGGGTTGGGGTCTCCAGGGTCAGATTTCCCGCTCTTTCTATCCCGGGTTGGGGTCTCCAGGGTCAGATTTCCCGCTCTTTCTATCCCGGGTTGGGGGTCTCCAGGGTCAGATTTCCCGCTCTTTCTATCCCGGGTTGGGGTCTTCAGGGTCAGATTTCCCGCTCTTTCTATCCCGGGTTGGGGGTCTCCAGGGTCAGATTTCCCGCTCTTTCTATCCCGGGCTGTTGGGGGGTCTTCAGGGTCAGATTTCCCGCTCTTTCTATCCCGGGTTGGGGTCTCCAGGGTCAGATTTCCCGCTCTTTCTATCCCGGGCTGTTGGGGGGCCTCCAGGGTCAGATTTCCCGCTCCATTTCCCGCTCTTTCTATCCCAGGCTGGGGGTATTCAGGGTCAGATTTCCCGCTCTTTCTATCCCGGGCTGTTGGGGGGTCTTCAGGGTCACATTTCCCGCTCTTTCTATCCCAGGCTGGGGGTATTCAGGGTCAGATTTCCCGCTCTTTCTATCCCGGGCTGTTGGGGGGTCTCACACTCTAAGCTGGCATTGGATGAGCCCTGACCACCCACCTCCTAGTAATACTGTAATGTGTGACTAGAAGACAAGTGGTGGTCTTGGAAATCTCAGGAAACAGTTTGATGCTGAAAAGTGGTCACAGATCGGGTAACGCGCGCCGTGGTCACAGATCGGGGAACGCGCGCCGTGGCCAGGAAGTGTGGGACCTGATCAGTGACATCATACAAATCGTGGAACGAGAAGCCGGCCCGCCCTCGTGGGGACCATCAGGAATGATAGAGAGTCCAGTGGCTGCGCGGTAGACCGGCACCTCCAGGCAATGGTGGGAACCGGAATGATGAGCTGGGGGGGGGCAGACAAAGGGATGGAAGAACAATGGTGTGGGGGGAGGGGAAAGGCTGAAGTTACCTTAGGAAGGAAGTTCTAGAACACATTGTCCCTGGGCAGGACCAGAAAGGGCCCATTACAGGATAAGCCGGCCCGTGAAGAGCCTCGCCGTGCAGAACCAGCAGGAAGTACAAGCTTGTGAATGAGCGATGAGGTGAAGATCATTGATTGGTTGCTGCAAAGGGAGGTCAGCATGCGTTGGAACAAGGTCACTAGTGACAAGATCTGACCCTTAAAGGTACAGCGCCAGCTGCTGGTCCCGGAGCTCTGCGTCCTCCAGCGAATGCGTTCTGCCGTTCGATGGCAGGAAGTAGACTTCCCAGCCTTCCGCATTGTAGGGGAAACACTGATCAAGAGATGGTCCTGAGCTTCAGCAGCCATGCGGGTAAATCAAGCCGGCTACGGCAATGCCGGACGGTAAACCAGTCCCTGGGACTGCGATCTGGAAGAGCCCGTGGAGTGTCTGCCGGGAGCCCGATCCGGCTTCAGTACCGCACTCGCTCGGGACCATCTGAGCCGAGAATCACCGACACACTTTCCTTCTTGATGTTGCCGAGAAGACGAGGAAGGAATTTCAGGGGTGAAGATCATGCTGGAGCCAAACTCCGGTCCTCCAGCTGTGGTGGAACTACAAATCCCATGAGGCATTCTCACAGACTGCCCCCAGAGAGAGAGATGCATTATGGGATTTGTAGTTTCACCACAGCTGTCAGGAGGCCCGCAGCCAGCGTCAGGAGGCCCGCAGCCAGCGTCAGGAGGCCCGCAGCCAGTGTCCCCCGGGCTCCAGAAGACCGGAAAGGAAATCTGTTTGGTGTCACCGGCAAGTTTAAGGACGTGAACCAGGAAGGGAGCGGAATTGTAGCTTGTAGTCCTTGGTGATCACCTCCAGCAGCTGGCTGACCAAATGTCCGCAGAGGCCGACAGACATCCAACACTCTGGAAAGTAGGGACGGCCACTCGTCTTCAAAACGATTCATCTGAGGGACCGGATCTAGAGGCCACGCCAGGGCAAGCGTTCCATTACTGGAGATTTAGGGATCAAAGCCGCTTGTCCTCTACAGCTCGGGGGTTACACTGCAATGGCCAGGAGTAACAATTGGCACAATGAACCACATGGAAGCACGCCACCATCATCTTGCCGCCATAGGTCAGGCATTTCCGGGATTGCAGGGTGGGAATGCAAGAGCAGAGACTGCAACTTCTGGGGTAGGAAGACCCTGGACAGGGGCATGGCCTAAGGACTCCAGATGGGAAGGCTCCAGGGTTGATGCCCTGGGCACACAGCAAGGGTAAGATAGAGGCCATCACCTGCGGTGCCATGGGCAGACTGGAAGAGCAATTGGCAAAACCCGGGGCAGGTAAAATGTGGATGTGTGTAACTAGGAATCCCTGAAAGCTCCTCCGGCTAAAGTGCCAAGGAGAGCGCCGCATGCAGGATCCAGCGAGGAGCACTTCACAGGCCAGACCCACCAGCTGGGAGGGGTTATACAGGCCACACCCACCAGCTGGGAGGGGTTATACAGGCCACACCCACCAGCTGGGAGGGGTTATACAGGCCACACCCACCAGCTGGGAGTGGGAGGGGTTATACAGGCCAGACCCACAAGCTGGGAGGGGATATACAGGCCACACCCACCAGCTGGGAGTGGGAGGGGTTATACAGGCCAGACCCACAAGCTGGGAGGGGATATACAGGCCACACCCACCAGCTGGGAGTGGTTATACACACCAGACCCACCAGCTGGGAGTGGGAGGGGTTATACAAGGCCAATCCGGCCAAAAACATTTCCCTTCAAGAGAGTGAGTGGAGAATCTTCCGCCTGTCGCGGGGACGCACCCTTCCTCGGGGCCGGGGACGCACCCTTCCTCGGGGACGCACCCTTCCTCGGGGCCGGGGACGCACCCTTCCTCGGGGACGCACCCTTCCTCGGGGCCGGGGACGCACCCTTCCTCGGGGACGCACCCTTCCTCGATATAATAACGATATAAAACTCGTAGACTGGTCAAAGACGCCGACAACCTAACAAAACGAGAGAGGAAAGCTCTAAAAGAACTTAAAATGGCCCCAAACATTCTAATAAAAAATAGCGGCAAAGGGGGCGACGTGATCCCTACTCCCAGAAATACAAACTTACATTACACTAAAATCCCCCTTTCACTGAGCTAAGCGCCGACACTAACATCAACTTGGCTTTAGAAGCTGCAGAACTCCTCCTCCTAAGAAGAGAACTCCTCCTCCTAACCAGAGAACTCCTCCTCCTAACCAGAGAACTCCTCCTCCTAACCAGAGAACTCCACCACCAGCTGGGAGGGGTTATACAGGCCACACCCACCAGCTGGGAGGGGTTATACAGGCCACACCCACCAGCTGGGAGTGGGAGGGGTTATACAGGCCAGACCCACAAGCTGGGAGGGGATATACAGGCCACACCCACCAGCTGGGAGTGGGAGGGGTTATACAGGCCAGACCCACAAGCTGGGAGGGGATATACAGGCCACACCCACCAGCTGGGAGTGGTTATACACACCAGACCCACCAGCTGGGAGTGGGAGGGGTTATACAAGGCCAATCCGGCCAAAAACATTTCCCTTCAAGAGAGTGAGTGGAGAATCTTCCGCCTGTCGCGGGGACGCACCCTTCCTCGGGGCCGGGGACGCACCCTTCCTCGGGGACGCACCCTTCCTCGGGGCCGGGGACGCACCCTTCCTCGGGGACGCACCCTTCCTCGATATAATAACGATATAAAACTCGTAGACTGGTCAAAGACGCCGACAACCTAACAAAACGAGAGAGGAAAGCTCTAAAAGAACTTAAAATGGCCCCAAACATTCTAATAAAAAATAGCGGCAAAGGGGGCGACGTGATCCCTACTCCCAGAAATACAAACTTACATTACACTAAAATCCCCCTTTCACTGAGCTAAGCGCCGACACTAACATCAACTTGGCTTTAGAAGCTGCAGAACTCCTCCTCCTAAGAAGAGAACTCCTCCTCCTAACCAGAGAACTCCTCCTCCTAACCAGAGAACTCCTCCTCCTAACCAGAGAACTCCTCCTCCTAACCGGAGAACTCCTCCTCCTAACCGGAGAACTCCTCCTCCTAACCGGAGAACTCCGCTTCTTGCCGCTCGGACAATTCATCATCCCGAAACGTCCAATAAGCCCCCCGGGGAGGCCCCCCAGTGTCTGCTGTGGGGGGTCCCTCTGGAAGGACCGGGTTCTACAACTCCCCTCTTATGTCCGGGACACAAAAACCTTCTGAACAATCTATCGGGACTCCGAGGACCCGAGATGGGTTGGGATAGACGTAGAATCCCGTTATACTTCTTCGCCATGAACGGGGCGGAGAGTCACCTATACACGCAGTCCAACTGTCCTTTCTGGGTGCACAAAAACGTGGTCCATCCCACGGCAACGGACGATCCGTGGGGTCCATCCCACGGCAACGGACGATCCGTGGGGTCCATCCCACGGCAACGGACGATCCGTGGGGTCCATCCCACGGCAACGGACGATCCGTGGGGGTCCATCCCACGGCAACGGACGATCCGTACTGTCAGTCCCGGGTCTAACCGACGCGCCACTGGAGGGTTACACTGTCACACCTCGCTACCCGTGTGATCATCGGTCACGCGTGATATGTTCCCGGCTGGACCCGGAGGAGTTCCTCTTGTTTTATATTCATGTGATTAATGTTTTGTTTGTTTTATAAAACTCCCGGCTTTCCTCGGCTTCAGACATCCTATAGGGCCCCAGGGGACCGAACTAACAAGGACCTTACACTATAGAACCCCCCCAGTTAGCAGAGAGGACCCGGGGGAGGCCGGCCTCATACAAATCTTAGACTTCTCTTTAATGGAAGGTTCACATTCGGCAATCTGCTGGCAGGAAACGGCACTTCATGTCTCCGGCCTTCCACAGCTGAAAATGTCTGCCGGGAGAAATCCGCCGGCTGCAGGTTAAGGGAACGCAGAGCAGAGGACCGTACGGGCAGCCGTGCGTTTACTGGCTGCGCAGAGTGAGTTCTCTCAGGTAAGACTGTGTGAGGCTGCGGAGTTCTTCCATAGCATAGTCCTCTGGCATTGGGAGGCGGCCAATGTGGGGGGCCAGCAATCTGAGGGGGACGCGCTGGAGGTCCGAGTCGTCGTCCGATTCCGGTGAATGTTGTAAACGCAGGACAACACGCAGGATGTTGGCGACACGCTTTGCCATCTCTGGAAAGGAAGAAGATGGTTAGAATGGAAACTCAGCGCACTGAAGACCCTCAACAAAAAAAAAATCTGCCCCGGACCAGAGGACTAACCCAGGAGAAGAGAGCGGGAAGTATATGACATGAATAGAACAAGGAAGGAATCTCCGGAACTTCCTCACAAGGCTGCAAAGTGGCAGCAGAAAGGGGACCCGTCTCCTGGAGATCAGGTCCCAACACGTCCCTACAGAGGGGTCCCAACACGTCCCTACAGAGGGGTCCCAACACGTCCCTACAGAGGGGTCCCAACACGTCCCTACAGAGGGGTCCCAACATGTCCCAGTTGGGACGAAATATTATGTTTGGTCTCTCGGCAACACAGTGTGGAAATGCGTAGCACACTCGGCACCACCCACTGTATGGATCAGGTAACTGGACCCGTCAATGGAAGAGCTCCTAAACCTTCCTGAAGGTGAAAGTCCTGCAACACTTAGGTGATGCCCAATGGAGGCCTGGTGAGGTTACAGACCACCAGAAGGATAGGCCAGGAGAGACGCCCAATGGAGGCCTGGTGAGGTTACCGACCACCAGAAGGATAGTCCAGGAGCGACGCCCAATGGAGGCCTGGTGAGGTTACAGACCACCAGAAGGATAGTCCAGGAGAGACGTAGTGACCATGTTAGGGGGCATTCCCTCCACACTCTACAAGCCATGAGACACGATGGAGGAGAAAGGTTTTGGAGAGATAAGGAAGGGGTCAATGGTCCATAGGGAGTGCGCTCCCTCTCCTATAGGTGACCCCCGGTTACCAATACTAGACTGTCTAGAAGAGAAGCCAGAACCGGATGAATCTTGCCGGTGTTTTGGCTGCAAGAATGGAGAAAGCGGATCCTTCCAGGGAAGGTCGTCCGAGCGTTCCAGAGTGGGGACCCCAAGACAAATCACAGGAGGGGACACGGGGTTCAGGGGAGGCGCCTCAGGAGGGCCGCTGACTCCGGTCCTTGCTAGTGAAGGGAACATTGACCTACAAGGGGTAACGCCGAGAAATAACCACAAGGGGTACAGCACCCAGGGACAAA